GGAAGCATGCAAGCAGTCAGTCTAGAATGAACCAGCCTAGAACGAGGTGCGGTGAGTTATGCCTTGCTGCCTTGGGGAGCAGCCTGCTTTATCTCTCTCTGTTTGTCGAGTTCTGAATTTCAAGAAACAGTCACATTATGTTAGAACCTGGTGGCAAGACAATTAAGGTTTTTATCTAATCTGTGTGTAAGATAGGAACATAAGTGTAAAACTCCAAAGGTAGTTTTATGTAGGTATTTTATGTAGGTGATAGATAGATAGATGTCTGTCTATCACCTACATAAAATACCACCATCTAACACTTATATAGCACCTTTCATCCATAAATCTCAAAAGCACTTTGCAAAGGAAGTTTTCCCCATTTTACAGCTGGGAAAACAGACACAGAAGGGCAGTGACTTGCCCAAGGTCACCCAGACAGCCAGCAGCAGTGCTGAGAATGGTAGCCAGGTCTCCTGTGTGGTCAGAGCACCACCACACTGCTGGCTAAGAAGAAGTCAGTTTCCATTATGCCTAAAATAAGCTAGCCTGACACTGCAAGGTGATCTGGCATCAGGCTCACAGCACCTGCACAGCAGTGTCTGATTTTTGTAGGGCGAGAGCGGCTCAGTGTTTTTAGACTGACCCACTAACACTGAGCTGCCTGCCAGAAAGAGTGGGGTGCTCTTTCTTTACAATGGAGGAAGGAAGTCTGAAAAGTTGGGGTACCCAGACCCCGCTAAATGCAGGAGTTTTCCTGCTTGATTTTCTCCTTGGGAATATCATTAGTGATCCAGCAGGAACAGCTTGAGGCCTCAACTGAGATCAGCACCTGATTGTGCTAGGTGCTGCACATGCATGCACCTCGTGAGAGAGAATCCCTGGCCCCAAAAGCTTCCCATCTAAATAGAAAGGGTAGAGCGCGGGTGCGGAACCACGAACGCAGAAATGACGTGACCAAGATCACACCGCAGATCAGTGTCAGAGTTGGGAACAGTCCCCAGCTCTCCCCCTCTGGTGGCTGCTTGCTACTGCTGAGATAAGTCCTCCAGTGTGAGCATGGTGATTTCACAGCCCTCAATGGAACTGTGTGTCGAATTCTAACAGAGACTTCTTTTTCCCCCAAGTGGCCATACGGCCATAGAGTCAAAGAGGCATTATAAAGTTTTGAGCAAGTGGGGAAAAAGTCACTTCCTCTTCTAACTTGTCTGGTTGCCCTAGCATGGCTTCTGCGATCTGACATTCTTGGCAGTTCCCTAGTTGCCCATGCAGCCTTTCAGGAAAAATAAGTTAAGACAAACCCGCATTCCTCATGTAAAGAGAAAGAGATCCTTCCGGCTGTCTGATGATCAGGAAGCAAAAACAAAGCAGAAATAGAAGAGGCAGTAAACCCATTCACCCCTGCTGTGGGGTTCACCTTTCGCGCAGCAAAGGGTGAGATTAAACACCCCGTCCTGTAGTACTGAAAGGTGACAAGTTCAGAACTGATCAAAGGAAATACTCCATTCCTCCCCACGTGATCTGGGGAACTTACTGCCACTGGATACTGAACACAAGAGCATAGCAGGATTATTATTACTTTAAAGATCAGACATTTACGTGGCTAATGAGACCATCCAGAGCGAGAACAAAGAAGATTTAAGCAGCAAACAAGAGATCTAAATCCTCCCAGGGTCATGAGCTAGCCTCTAAGTCTTGCAACTTCAGAGGATGCTTTGGTTATGCCATCAGCGCAGGGTACGTCCACCGTCCTCTTAAGCTGCTTGATGCTGGCCTGTCAAGACAGGAAAACGGGCTGTATGGACCCTGGGTCTGATCCCACGAATGGAGTCAGGGAAGGAAGAGATGGAAGCCGACATCTCGCCAAGAAGGGGAAATGCACTTTCCCTGCCTTGCTGGGAGTTCCTGGCTGCTCCTTGCCTGCCAAAGCACAGACAAAGGAAATTGCAGTGTTGGGGACTAGGCTCAGATTGGTAAATAAGCATTTGATTAAGGGCTCAGGCCGCTCCTCCTGTGCTGGAGGGCTGGTTCGGCGCCACCGGCGGGATTCCCATTAGACAAGATCAAAACAAACCGCAAACACAACAAAAGGCAGCAATTTTCCTCCTCTGTCAGGGCTTGGTAGCTCCTGGCGGCTGCTCACTGAAGGCCTGATGCAAAGCACAGTGGAGGGAGTTTGTTCCCCATGTTGCCATCAACTCAGGCCCTTTCTTCATCCGTGGACGTTCCAGGGGCCTGGCTCAAGTGAACGACTGGTGCAAGGAGGGAAGCAGGCAGAGATCGGTGGGTAGGGCAGGATGCCCTGCCAGCCTACATCCCTCACAATCATGTGAAGCGAACCAAGCAGAGACTGGTGGCTAAGGATTTGCAGGCAGGGGCTCCCCGCCCACCTAAATCATCCGCCAACCTCAGCTGGGAGAACTACAGCCCAAGTTGCAGTCTCACGAGCCATCAGTGTTCAAGTCTCCACCGGCCTTGGCAGAGTCCTCTGGCAAAGCGAGGATCTGCTGTTTCACATTCCCCCCCCCGCCCCACTCCTGGGGCACAAGAGGGCAGGGGTATAATATGATGCCTCCGGCAGAGAGGGCCTGTTAATACTTGCTTTCCCCTTTGTAGTTTACAGTGAAAGGTGAATTGCACTGTGCCACACTCAGAACTAGCCAGGCAAGGGGGTAGCCCAGTCCAGTGTCTTAACTGCTAGTCTATCCTTCCTCAGTCCTCGCACACACTTCCCTAGGACCCCATCGGGGCAGAAGAATGCATACATGAGATCAAGGCCTTCTTTCCGTCCACAGCAATTGTCTGTCATTAGCCAGAGTGATTCGTTAGTTCCTATAGCAGAGTAGATAATTAAGCCCATCTCAGCTCCTGCTGTGATATCCGATGCTTCAGAGGAAGCCGACTAACCTTTTTAATACACTCAGCTAGTGGGCTGTTGCTGCGTAGATGGTGGTATCAGTCCTCTCCCTTGCTGGAAAACAAGCTTGTTAATTGCAACAGGAAATCCCTGGGGGGGTGTGATTGGAAAGATGTGCAAGGAAAAAAAAAATGGGAAAAAATGGATGCTTGTCCCTAAATCCTCCCTCGGGCACCCAAAAACAGTTTCTTGTACAGCTTCGGGGGCTAAAGCAAAGCATCAGAGAAAGTTCTAAAAATCCTCTAGCACAGAGTTTAGTCACGTTTACTGGACTCAGCCAGAGCTTAATACAAAGGTGACCTTGAAATGATCCATATAAAATCAGGCGCGTTTCTTTTTTTGATGGAGAAGTCAGGCTTGAAAAGTTGGAAGTTTTACTGCTTGTTTTTTTTTTTAAGCCTTAGAAATAATCAGAAACACTCAGCTGGGGCTTCCCCTGGTTTTGATTGAAGATCAGAGGAAAGTTTGTGACGGAGCCTCTTGAGAAGGAGACTTTAAAGAGGAATGCTTCCTCGCTGGAGGTTTCATTGATGTTCAGTAGGTGTTTACAAAACACCAAAGGGTCTGACACAGTTTAAGGTCTTGTCTATGCTGGGATCACATATCCAGGATGGGATGTTGTCTGACCATGCACTAGAAAGCCGCAGCTATTTACTGCTCAATTGTGCCAGGTGCTGTACAAACACTGAACAAGATTTTAAGATGTTCGGACACAGACCATCTAGATTTAAAAATGATCTATTTAAACTGATGCAAAGCCCTAATGTAGACACACTTAAACCAGTTTAAGCCTCACTCAGACAGATTTAGCTGGCACCGGAACGTTGGCAAATTAAGCCATGTGTTTCCATTGGGGTATGCCCTGGTTTAACGATAGAGTTCAAATCTCGTTAAGCTGGTGCACCTATCTAGCATGCACCTGGCAGTCACGTACACCAGTGTGAGCTGGGGATGGTCATTGCCATTTTCATTTAGCGAGATAAGATAGGTAGGTGAAGTAATATCTTGTAGTGGGCCAACTTCTGTTAGAGAGACAAACTTTCGAGCCACAGAGCTCTAGATGCCGTGTGACTCAAAGGCTTGTCTCTCTCACCAACAGTAGTTGATCTAATAAAAGATATTACCACACCCACCTTGTCTCTCTAATATCCCGGGACCAACATGGCTACGCCACCACTGCATGTTAATTTAGTAGCATTTTTACACTTGCCATGCACAAAGCACAGCTTTAAGGGAGAATCCAACCCCCAGACATGATTTGCGCAACGGCTTTACACCCCTGGACTTGAGGTTTGCCCTGGTGGCAGCAACACCAGTGTGGACACAGCTCGCCATTCCCTCTTGTGATGAGCCTTTCGCCAGTTCTCTCACCTAGGCAGGAACTGAAATGTAACCTGGGAGACACAGGCAGAACACGCTTGGCAGCTGATGGATAAAGCATACAAGAGGGCACATACCCAGGCCTCTGCAGGCTGCATTATTGTGGAGCCTAGAAGTCTCAACTGAGAGGCTGCACAGACAGAGTGTGCGACAGCCTCTGCCCCATACAGCTCACAGTCTAAATAGACAAAGAGTGGGAGGGGAAACTGAGGCACAGAGGGGTAAGGGGCTTGCCGAAGTTTACACAGAGTCAGTGGCAGGACTAGGAATAGACCCCAGGACTCATGTCCCATCCACCACACCCATTTCTCAAACTTTGCAGGTTGGCAACCCCTTACCTGAAGTCAAAAATTTTCACGACTCCCTCCCTCTCTCATGTTGACTATAAACAATAAAAAAAGCATTGGTGAGGATAATGCTAACCCCGCATGTGCGTGGAGAGGCTGGCAGGATACTTACCTTGAAGAGGACTGGTACATAGGTGGTCAGGGGGTGAGATTCTCTTTGCTTTAGACAGCAATAAGATTTTTCAGTCTCAGGACCCCCCACCCTCAGGGTCACGACTCACCAGTTGACAGACCGTACCGTACCGTGCTGCTGCTGAAGAACGCTGCTGGCATAGCCCCCAGCCAGCAGCACCACGACTATGAAGGAAGCGGGTGAGGCTGGGCTGCAGGCCCCGCGCTGACACCACGCCGTTTGCTCCACTGCATGAGACAGCAAATCGTTCCAAGAGCTTTATTCCTACGTTGACTTAAGACACTTTCAATAGTTAAAATGAAAAAAAAATTAAAAAAATGTATGCAAAGAAGACTCCTACCACATCAGAGAGGGAAACAGACAAGGTCAGAACAGGGCACTTCGGAACAGAACTGAACTAGCGAGTCCCCCAAATAATCTCTCTTTTCCCCCATGGAGGCTGGTGGAGGGCTCAAGATCCCAGCTGGGTTTGTAACTGGCCATTTACTCTAGAGAGCGACTAGGATCTCCATCCCACAGCTGGCTAGGCAGGGACATGCTCCATTCCGGATCAGGCTGCAGATGTTTTCTAAGAGCGATGGATCAGTCTAGTGGAACAGAAGCGGGTTTCCTAGCGCAACACACCAGAGCCGTAGGTGTTGCCAGAGCGGCGTTATCGCAGACTCTTCTTGAGGGTGAAGGAAGGAAGTCGATCCATCAGGAGGCTCTGATTCTAACGCACCCTAATGCGGATCAGACGGCTCTTTGCCACGCGGGGGTGCACACCTCCAACCCTGAGATCAAGCTATGGGATCACAAGGGCTCTGTACGTTGGTGCCCCTTCACCCCAGGAAGGGCTGTATACAGGAGAGGCCAAGAGAGATGCTGGAGCAAGTTGTGCCCCAGAGGAGCTGGTAGGATCATGATGTGCCATGGCTAGGATGATATGCTGTCTGATGCCCCCCTGGGGGAGGAGGATTCAATCCTCCAGCTGGAGGGAGCTGCTCTAGAGTTATTGGGACGCTCCCAGGAGGAGGAACCCCCAGGCAACAGAGCAGCAGCAGTGCTGGAAAGCCACAGTGGGCAGCATGGGGCTGGAGGGGAGAGCATACGCCTGCCCAGCTAGAGACAGCGAAGGAGGGGTCTGACGGGGGCCCGCCTCAACTGCGGCCAAGGATACCAGGCAGGTGCATGTCATGGCTGTAGCAGCCCTGGAAGGAGCAGAGCTGGGTCACCGCGGGAGTGGGGATGGTTCCCAAGGGAGCTGGCTCACATTCCCGGCAAGCCACCCAAGCCCCAGGGGCTCCCTGAGCGGAGGACCTGATGCAGGGGGAGTGGCACTAAGTGCTTGTCTAGAGTGATTCCTACGGAGCCAGCGGTGATTGGTGCAGAGACAGAGAAAGTGGGGGAGGAGCCCAGCAGACCTACAGCTCCCATTCCTCCCTAGCCCAACTGCAAAGCAGGTGCCCGCAATCTCCTCACGCAGGCTAAGGGGAAGGGCCACAGTCAGACACCCCATTGGTTAGGAAGAGGCATTAACCCTTTAGCTACCCCACTAGAACATGTCCAGGTTTCCCCGCTGATACCACTTCCCCGTAGTACTTGGATGCAGCCCCCGTGAAGCCAGTCAGATCCCTTTCCCCACGCAGTGGCTGTATCCTTGCGCTCCCGTGTCCAGGTCTGGCCGTGCCCCGGATCACATGCAGTCCATGGAGTTCTCAGGTAGGATGCCGAGGGCAGTGCCCGGCCCCTTGGCGGAGGTGCAGCTGGCAGACAGCATGCCCTCAGGCTCCGGGTCCACGTTCTCGATGTCCTCCATCTGGTCGCTGGGGCCGTCCCAGTTGATGTGGAAGCGGGTGACGCGGGGGTTGGAGGCCAGAATGTTCCTCTGCAGCTAAGTAGAGGGAGGAGGAATCAGACAGCTGCAGGGCTTGTTATACAGCCCCATCTGGGGCCTAGAGACACCTACCAGCCCCCCACGTTAAGGGGTAAGAAGTAGGGCCTTCCCGCAGAGAGTGTACCCTGGCCTGAGCCAGTTGAGATGGGAGGATTGGACAGCGCTAGGATATAACCAGGAGTCAAGGCTTTTCTTCCTTAGCTTAGTAAACGTTTAAAGCAGGGGTTCTCAAACTGGGGGTCAGGACCCCGCAGGGGGTCGCGAGGTTATTACATGGGGGTCACAAACGGTTAGCCTCCATCCCAAACCCCGCTTTGCCTCCAGCATTTATAATGGTGTTAAATATATAAAAAAAAAAGTGTTTTTAATTTATAAGAGGGGTCACACTCAGAGGCTTGCTATGTGAAAGGGGTCACCAGTAAACAAAGTTTGAGTACCACTGGTCTAAAGTACCAACAGCCTTGCTGTACAGAGGGAGAAACTGAGGCACAGCGTAGCAGGGAAGTGACTTGGGCAAGGGCATACAAGTCAATCAGTGGCAGAGCCAGGAAGGGAACCCAGGTGCCCTGACTCCCAGTCCCCTAGCCAGGGACCTCGAGCCTCACTCTTTCCCTAGCCAGGCATGGACCAACAGCTTGTAATGCCGCACTAGGGCTCAGAGCGTCAGAGAGCTCCCTGATCCTAGTTCCCCCCCACCCCGTGAGAAGCTGGGTCGGACCAGGACTCTACAGTGGCAAGAGCCTCCTTGTCCAGAAGGCCCGAAGGGCCCCTTACAAAGACCCCATGGACAGGGCAGGGCATGAGTCAAGAGCCCCCCTCTGCCAGCTGCTGGTACCTGGGAGAAGTCTGGCTTGAGGGGTGGATTCTCCCGCAGTTCGGGGTCCGTGTACTCGTTGTTGACGTAGTAGCCCACGCGGATGAACTCTTGGCCCAGGTAGGTACAGGTGATGAGCACCACAGTCACCCCCACTGCGTCGCTCTCAGGGATCAGGCTGGGGTTGGGGGCTTCGGCCTGGAAAGGAAGCGACATCCCCGCCCCGAGGGGGAGATCAGAGAGCATGTCAGAGGGGGACCAGAGCCAGTCACATCGGTGAGTTTTTAAGGCCAGAAGGGACGACCAGATCACCCTGTATGACCCTCTCTCCATCACCAAGCCCAACTGCCCAGATCAAACCAAACTATGGGAGACCCAACGGTTGAATGCCACAGGAAAGTTTTTGGAAAATGCACAATTTCCTGGTGCAAGTGCTGGAGGAACCAAATAGGGGCAGAGCTCTTCTTGACCTGCTGCTCACAAACGAGGAAGAATTAGTAGGGAAAGCAAAAGTGGATGGGAACCTGGGAGGCAGTGACCATGAGATGGTTGAGTTCAGGATCCTGACACAAGGAAGAAAGGAGAGCAGCAGAATACGGACCCTGGACTTCAGAAAAGCAGATTGACTCCCTCAGGAAACTGATGGGCAGGATCCCCTGGGAGAATAACATGAGAGGGAAAGGAGTCCAGGAGAGCTGGCTGTATTTTAAAGAATCCTTATTGCGGTTGCAGGAACAAACCATCCCAATGTGTAGAAAGAACAGTAAATATGGCAGGCGACCAGCCTGGCTAAACAGTGAAATCCTTGCTGATCTTAAATGCAAGAAAGAAGCTTACAAGAAGTGGCAGATTGGACAAATGACCAGGGAGGAGTATAAAAATATTGCTCAGGCATGCAAAAGTGAAATCAGGAAGGCCAAATCACACTTGGAGTTGCAGCTAGCAAGAGATGTTAAGAGTAACAAGAAGGGTTTCTTCAGGTATGTTAGCAACAAGAAGAAAGTCAAGGAAAATGTGGGCCCCTTACTGAATGAGGGGGGCAACCTAGTGACAGAGGATGTGGAAAAAGCTAATGTACTCAATGATTTTTTTGCCTCTGTCGTCACAAACAAGGTCAGCTCCCAGAC